TTAGCTCGAAAGAAAGAAAACGTAAACTGAAAGAAATGCATATGCCTACCCCACACCACACCCCACCAGTTCCCTTCCCCTCTTTCTCTTTCTGCAATTGATTTTCACCTGGATTTCTCTCAAGAGACGACGACGACCGACGACTTGTGCCCTGTTTTTTGCTGTTTCTGTTTTTGTTTTTGTTTTCCTTGTGCCTGTCGCTCATTCGCTTTGTCTCTTTGGCATTGATGTGTTTTGGTGTTTTGTTTATTTGGAGGAGTGGTGGAGACCCCAAGGGGGGCTACTCGTCACACTCTGATATTTGTCGCTATTTTCTGTGTGCCTTTACCGTTTTTTTTGCTGTTGTATTTTTTTGGCAAATTGCTTTTGGAGTCGATTTCGGAGTTATCGGCGGTGGCGTAGGTGCTATAGCGGTTTTTGTTTTTGGTGTTTCTCAATGCTCCGCCAGCGCACCACTGCACCGCCACTCCTCCCCTGCTGCTCCTCTCTCCGCTAATCTGCTCCATCGCCTCCCCTACTTTTCTGCATAATTGAATTTGTTTTCGAGGTCGACGTTTAATAAACTGAACTTTAAAGCGGTTTTTGTTTGGTTTTTACGATTTGCGAAATCGATTCCATTGGCTGCAACATTTTGGCTGCAACTACAAACTGCGGCTAACGGATCACAGATCTCTGGCTCTGGCGCTGCTGCTGCTGCTGTTGTCAATCAAAAAGTCAAATTCCAAGCTGTCAAAGGGGTCGCAATTTGTCTTTCAATTGCAATTGAGACGAAAAGCGAATGTGACATGGCCAGTAAAGTAGAGAGAAAAAGCAACTGCAACAAAACTGAGAATGCAATGAGTTTGAAATTGCGCATACGCCGCGTGTCTCCCAGCGATTGGCTCGACAATCGACATTCGACAATCGAATGCAGTGCAGGAATGCCGCCATTCCGCCATGCCGCCATGCCGCCTGAATATGGAATTATGACAGACACTAACTAGCAGGCAGTATGAGCTGCACAGTGTTAACCCATTGGGCGCCCTCAAGCGTAATTGAATGTCATGTTAAATGGGTTGGAAAAGTGGTAAACTTTGTTTGTTTGTTTGAAGGGCAAACTATGATAGATTGTCAGCCAATAAAGCAGCGCTAATCATCTTAGGAAACTCCTTTAATTAGTCGAAATCGGTCCTTCCTTCACACTCAAATGAAAACACCTTTTAAACAACCTCTCTAAGAACATCTTTGACCAAGAACCACACTCCTATAGTACACCCCACACCCATGTTAAATCCTTAACTGCATCTACGAGTTGTTACTCAATCAATTCCCATGGCGCGCACAGCTCAAAGAGCGCCTTCAATGGGTTAATGGGTTAATGGTATGAATGTTCCTTTTGACAGTTTACAAGTTATTCAAAAGACACAGTCATACAGGCACACAGCCCCACAAATGTTTGTTGAACAATAAGCAAATAATTCTCCATTGCACATGTCACACAAATCCAAAAGCGGTGCCCCCAAAGGGGAGCACACACACACACACACACACACACACACCCAAGAGACCAACTGTCGATTTGTGGGCAACAACTCGATTTCTGGTCATAAAGTTCCATTCAATTTTGTATGCAAATCAAAGGCAAAACTGCGTAATGAGCCGCAACCCGTGACTGAAACTTTAGATACAGTTGGGCAAGGTGTGCGGGGTGGCGGCGGGGGGGGAGTCCACGATGGCAATGGGTGTCCCAGGGGTAGGGAGTCCAAGTCGCCGCCGCCCCACAGTTTGCCACTTGACTTACATGTGTTCCATGCTGCTCCGGCTGCTGCTCCACTGTCGGAGTCACTCGCTGATTGCATTAATGGGTCACCACTGTACCGTCGCAGCCGTTTCGGCCGTTGGGACACATGTGTGTGCTAACGGTAAACTGGTTACCGCCGCCTGCCAGACAGAGAGCAGCAGCAGGCAGCAGGCAGCAAGCAACAGGCAGGCGGGCGGCATCAGTAAGCGGCATAACCGTGTCTCAAACAAAATGCCAATTGCCCAATGCTCCCAATGCGCTGACCCCACTAGAGTGGGGAGCCACCACCACCATGGACTGTGGTGCCACACTCTGCTGTTGTGTTGCACCGATTGGTTCATGACATATTAGCAAAGGTTTTTAAGGCCTCACTTTATGGCTGATTTCATTTAGGGCCGAAGCACTGCTGCAGCTAATCTCTGCTGCTGCAGAAATGCTTGCAACATCCACATGGAGCAGAGAGCGCTATGCCGCTGCTGTGTCACGATCCTGAAGGCAAGGAAATCACAGAAAAGGTGGCAAGCGGAGTTATGGTTATGTGAGCAGCAAGCAACCGGCAACAATCGGTGGCAGGCAGCAAACAGCAACATATCGCATTGAAAATCGCTGCAAATGAGGCAGTGTGAAAAATGCGCAACTGTCGAAATTGTTTTTGTAGACAAAAATATCAACCAAGTGGCAACAGCAGCAGCAGCAGCAGCAGCAGCAGCAGCCCAAAAACTTGACTCCAGTTATGTGTGCCTGCCCCAAAGAGAGTGGTGTTGGTGGTGGCAGGTGGCAGGTGGCAAGTGGAGGGGAGCATACACTTTGCAATCGGTTAAGCATTCACATGGGAAAAAAACGACGGGCAGCAGCAGCAGTCAACAGTCAAACAGTCAGCAGGTTGCCGAGCCCAGCAGTTGCCACAGTTGCAGTTGCAGCAGCGCAGCCACTGCAGCATTTTGACAGCTCTTGCAGCAGGAATTGAAACTTTATTTTTCGCTTTTCCACTCATATATATTGTATATATTTGTTGCAGCAAATGTCAGGCTTAAACCCTTACACCTTTTCATAGCTCGAACAAATGTCGAAACTAATAAACTTCCTGGCGGGCGAAGAGTGTTTCCTGGTTGGGGGAGCAAGAAAAGAAAACTGTGTGCTAGGAAAAACTTGTGCACGGTTAGAAGTTCTATAAGAAATCAAGTTTATTTCGGTTTGGAAAGGCAACAGTTGTTAACTCTTTCCTCAGTAACTCAATACTTATTAGATTTCTATCAATTTTCGTACATCCAATGAAGGAATCTCCATAGATAACCTACTCAAATTTGCTTTAGAATCTTGGTTTTGTTTTCCTTCAGTCAATCTTTCTTTGAACCTTCTCTTCTTAATTTGAGAACTCGCTTTTGACCCTTCAAATTGCGTGTAATTCTGCTTCTAATTCGCTGAACTTTCTACACATATACACTTAATCTTTAATCAACAACATTTTGCCGCTAATAGAGCTATTAATGCATTCATCTTTTACGCTTTTAAACCTTTCTCCTTCTGCCAGCCAGCCAGCTGGCTCCATCCATTAATTAAGTTATTACCTAAAATAAAAACCCAAAAATATACATATGTTTGTATGTATTTAAGGCCAAACAACCTTCTCTTTCCCACATGGAAAAACTGTTTTTGGCAGCAGCAGCAGCGGCACCAAGTTGCATGCAATTGCCCATTTAGAGGGGGGCAAGTGGGGCATGTGTGTGGCATGAAATATTTTGTCATGCGTGTGGCTGAAAAAAAAGCCCAGCACACAAAAATATTCCCACGTTCATTTTCGAGGGAAATATTTTGTTTAATTGAATTAATTTTTGCACGAAAAGAAAATGAACAAAAAAATGTCAAAATAAAACCAAAAATCAGTCAAAAGCAAAACCATTTATCATTATTTTGCAGGCTCGAAGATCGTTTTGGCCATATTTAGTCATATTTATTGGCCAGAACAAATTGATTAATTGATTGGAAATTTGCATACGCGACTCTGCGGCTCGCTCTACGGCTATCGTCTTAATGAGAACTTGACGGCTCATTGAGAGAACTTTTCCCCCCACGAGATGATGGATGATTGAATGATGAATGAATGAACTGCAGTATGAGGATACACTCGAACTTAAGGACTGGCCTCTGCTGCGTAACAGCCAGTGACAGTAGCTGCACGACGTAAAAAAAAAATACTGGTATCGAACTCAAAACATAGAAACGATGTCAGGGACAGTCTTTGGGCCTCTGGCTCTGGGGTCCGGCTCCGTAATGCTCCGCATCCATTAATCACGGGATCGGTTTGACACGGTGGTCGAGCGGAGAGAGAGAGAGAGAGAAGAGAGTGTGGGTTACCGAATCGAGTGGAGTGCGAGTGGTGCGAGTGGATGATCAGCCAGAAAACCCTCATTTGAGTGTGCGCCCGAAGCGCCATGGCATTTCTTGTTGTTTGCTCATTTGTTTGCTGTTTGCTGTTGCCCCGATGTTTGATTACATAATCACTAACAAAATCACGAGAAACTATAACAAATGTTCGATGAAGGCGAAGAAGGAATGCCCTAACTTTTGGGATATAAATTTAAAGCCGAAATGGAAGTTGCTATTTGGGGAGAAAATTGTGCTAAGAAAGTGCTTAAAATACTTTGAAGTCGCAAAAATTCGTATTATAATATATTTTATTATTGTTTATTTTTGTTTTTCTTAGCTGGAAGAACGAAGAATCATTTATTTAATGATATTATCTACTAGATATCCAAGAATTAAAGCAATCGGAACTTTATTTGAATTAGAATTTCCCATTGTGCCTTTTCTTGAAATCCGAAATCTATTGGACTATTGGACCAACTTTCTTATACATTTTTCTACCAAAAAACAACACAAAATCTGAGTTTTTGTTTCAACAATTAAAACTATTTCAATCCCGAAGTTTAAATCCTCTGATGTAAGCGCCATTTCGCATGAAAATAAGTTATAGGCGGCGACGTCTTGACATCATCCCACCGACGCGGCGCCGTTTACTTTCGCTACCACTCGAGCCTCTGTATCTGTCTCTGGCTCTTTGGTCTCTGTCTTGTGGTGGCCTGGAGCCACCTCCACTGCTGCGCTTTTGCGTTTTCGTTTGTGGGTCTTCCGGCCACCGTTCGTGCTGCCGTCCAAGGCCGAGCTGCGTCTGCGTTTTAGGGGGAGATTGAAATGCTCTATAAAAGCAAAGCTCCGATCTGGTTAAGGCATCAGTTCAACGCCTTGGCTCATCTCCAACAGGTCAACATCATCAACATGAAAATCTTTGTCTGCTTACTCGCCCTTGGCGCCGTGGCACATGCAGGCTTCATTGGTGGCGCAGGAGGAGGCGGTGGCTACGGTGGAGGCGACTCCCATGGATCCCATGGAGGTGGCGGCGGCGGTGGCTACAGCTATGGCGGCGGCGGCGGCGGTGGACATGATCATGGTGCAGCTGCTCCTGTGAAGGTCATCAAAGTGATCCACGAGAGTGCACCCTCAGGAGGCGGCGGTGGCGGCTGGCAGTCTGGTGGAGGCGGCGGCGGCTGGCAGTCAGGAGGCGGCGGAGGATACGGCGGCGGCGGCGGCTATGGAGGCGGCGGCGCTCAGGAAGTCAAAATCATCAAGATCATCTCACAGCAGGGATCTTCGGGAGGCCATGGCGGTGGCGGCTGGTCTGCCGGCGGTGGTTCCAGCGGAGGATGGTCCTCGGGTGGTGCCTCCAGCGGTGGTTGGTCCTCCGGAGGAGGTGGCGGTGATTCTGCCTCTGCTGTCAAGATCATCAAAATCATATCCGAGTCGGATGGTGGAGCTGGTGGTGCTGGCGGTTGGGCACAGGGCGGTGGTCAGTCTGCAGGATGGGCTCCAGCTGGTGGTTGGTCCTCGGGTGGTGGCGGCGGCGGCAGCTGGTAATTGTGATAGCATCCACAGCGCCCCGCACCCATTGAACCCATATCCCTCATTGTACCTCATCTCATTTCCATCTCAGCGACACATCCCCTCACCCCCTCAATTACTTGTTAAAATAAAAGTTTTCTGTTTGATCATTTTATCCCAAAAAAAAAATAGAAAGAAAGTGTTTAATTTTGCAAGCGAACAAAGGGAGGCAACCCGAGTGAAATCCTTTTACAACTTTTCAATTTTAAAACGAAGAGAAAAACAGAGAAAAAACTTCCAAGTAAAAGAAGGAAAAATCCCCTGCTCTACCCCCACTCCCTTTTATCACCCCCTACCCGCTAAGAAGCACACTTAACCGTTAAGTAATAAAATTCAAGCAAAAAAAGGAGCAGCAAAACGAAGAAGGAGAAAAAAAGGAAAAACTGTCGGTGGAAAATATGTAAAATATCACTTTTGACTACGTGGCAAAGTCTAGCCACTGCCACATACCACACCCATCCCACAGTGTCCTATCCTTGGTAGAAAGCTTTACACCCTCGCAGCAGGAGCTCTCTGGGCTGAGAGTGTGTCGAGCGAGGGGTGTGGGGCGGAGGGTTGGGTCCTTGGGTTGCATGTATAAAAATATATATTTTCCATATAAATCTAACAAAGAACGTGTTCGGGTTACTTGATTAGGCCTTCGCCTCGCGTTTGGGGCCAAAACAATTTTTTCTCCCTCCTTGATTTCTGTTTTTTTTTTCTTCTTGCCGTTGTCGTTGCGGGTGTGGCATGAAACGAGGGGCGCACGGCGACAATGAGAGAGTGCCACAAGAAAAGGATATATCTGGGACTTTCTTTCTTGAGTTTTTTCCTTTGGAACACAAAAAAAAGGGAAAAAGTTGCTGTAACCAAAAAGTAAAAAAAGAAAGAAAAATGAGCAATTCCAAAGGCGAAAACCAATTTGTTGCATAAAGAGAATAGCAGTGAAAAGCGGAGAGGGGAGGGGGATAGGGGTGTGAGTGTGGGAGTGGGAGTGGCAGATATGATATACCTTCCTCCTTCATATGTTTGATTTTGCCCACCCACCCGATTTAGCCCTTCATTTTCCTTACTCTATTTATGTATTGATTTTATTTTTGACGGGGGCCAGCGGCAAGTGAATATTTTCATTGCGCAATTCTTATTTCGCCTTCGGGGGAATTATAAAAACAATCATTAAAAATATTTATTAGATTCGATTCGATTCGATTCGATTTCCAATAGCCCCACAAGAAATCAAAAATCAACTTGTTGCTGGTTTTATAAACAAACAGAAGGCAAAACATTCCCCTGAACAGCCATTACTTAATATTCTTACGCAGAGAATCTCTAGAGAATCTCTAAACACAGATCCACCCGCTCTTCCTCGTTTTGGCCTAAACAAAAAATTTGAAATGAAATTATTTTTACGACTTAAATGGAAAAATGTACAGATTTTTTGGCCCCTTACCCCTCTTGCCTGCTGGAAATTCTGCTGCTTCGTTGATTATATTTGTCTGGTGCTTCTTTCACGAAAATTTGTTATTATTTTAATTTTACTTATTGACTGATTGTTTTTATTGTTAGTCCACCAATTCAGCACGTGCAGGCTGGCTGGTAGGCTGGCAGGCTGGCAGGCTGGCAGGCTGACAGGCACACAGACGGCGGCCAAAAAGTGGAAAATTGCGTGTTTATCCAAGAACAACATGAAGGGAATCAGAAAGATACGTGAATTATACTAGAGGGTGCGCTGCACATACCGAGGGAATGTCGCGCATCCGTCAGCTTTATTTTCGGGTGGATTTACGGCAGAGTCAACCCAACCTTGCTGTCTCCCTGGGGGGGACTAGCGTTCCCCACTTGAGTGTCTACCCTGTTGACTGAGTCGCAGACTCAATTCAAGAGTGTTTACTGTTGGGAGCGTGCGTGTGCATCAACAGCAGACACGAGATGAGAAAAAACACAATCAATGAGGCAAATGCAAACAGTTTAAGCACCCCACGGAAGTATGGCTTGCAAAATTGTTTATTAAGAACTGCTTAAACCGCTTCATTTGTCAACTCAAATAGCTGTAGTTGTATCTGATTTGTGTGGTTGATTTCAATCAATGGGTTCTATAGCTGACTTTTCGATATTTCTCCTTAGGCATCTTCGCTGCATTAAACTGCAATTTACAGCGAACCGATTTGGCCTTGAGCGATCTCCAAAGAACATGTTTGTCCTGTTTGTTTGGCCTGTTTGTCACACAGATCCGCAGGCCAAGAACGAACATGTTGCATGCGCTGCGAGCCGCTTGATGGCCCCTGATAATACCTTTGGTTGGCGCTTGTCATTCGATTATGAAGGTTCTCTTAAACTCAGATTCGATATTTCTCCTAAGGCATGTTCGCTGCATTAATCTGCACACTGTTGGGGCCTGTTTGTCACACAGATCCGCAGACCAAGAACGAACATGTTGCATGCGCCGCGAGCCGCTTTATGGCCCCTGATAATACCTTTGGTTGGCGCTTGTCATTCGATTATGAAGCTTCTCTTAAACTCAGATTCGATATTTCTCCTTAGGCATGTTCGCTGCATTTATCTGCGCACTGTTGGGGCCTGTTTGTCACACAGATCCGCAGACCAAGAACGAACATGTTTCATGCGGTGCGAGCCGCTTGATGGCCTCTAAAAATACCTTTGGTTTCATAAACTCAGATTCGATCTCTATCCGTTTTCGAATCAAAACTTTTATTCAAGCCAAGCCGGAACTAGACAAATACCTCTCGGATCAATGGAGACCCTTTCTCATACAAGTCTCTCAGCTTTAAACTCATCTTTTTCAGGAATCAAATATGACAGACCACTCTCTGGGGTTTTAGGGTCTTTTTTCTAAAGCTTCCATATTTTCCTAGTAAATAGTAGGATGATAAACCTCCTCCCCCCCCCTTTTGATTCAGGCATCCTCCCCACCACTTCGTTCTGTGTCGTTCTGGGGCTTTTGGCGTCTGTCCCGCTGTCATTTCGTACCGCTGTCTGCCTTCTGGCGGGGTTTGTCTGGTCGACGACACCGTCACCGTCATCGTAGTCGTCGTCGTCGTCGTCGTCATCCTCCTCATCGCCAATCGTCCATTGCCCACTGGTTGTGCTGCTGCCAGACGTGCGCCGACGTTGTCGCCATTAACTGTCCCACCGACGCCGTTGGCGACGTCTCCATCTCCATTCCTTCTCCTCCATTCTGGCAACAGCAGCAGCAGCAGGCGGCGGCGACCAGCGTCTCATCGATTTGGAGTCGTCTCCTGCCCCACACACCCACCCCCGTGCCATGATTTGGTTGTCGCCTTTGTTGGCTGCCAAAACACAGGCACAGACGCCCAAACAGTGTGACAGAAACAGAAAACACAAATCGCCAGAAAAAAAAAACAAACAAACAAGAGAGAGAAATAAAGTTTGAAAAGAATAAGATAAGAAGGGGTGAGGAGGGGCAGCGGCAAGGGGGGAGTACGAGCAGTTCTGAGGCAAACAAATAAATATTTATTAGTCATTTATTTTGTTTTATTCTCTCACTCTTTCGTGCTCCTCTTTCTCTGCTAAGGTGTCTCATTCTCTCTAGGATTATAAGTATAAATCCGCCACGAGCTGCTGCAAATCTACCGACTAAATCCCATATTTCCTCAGAAACAAACCCACTGAAGGGTATCCATCGTTTCGATACCCTTTCATCGCTGATTGGTCGTTGTTGTCATGCCTTTTGTTATCGCTAAATGTTTTCAGGTGCGCATTTTGTGATTTTCTGCTGCGTGTCTCGTCACCTGCCGCCCCCGTTCCACCGTCCTCCCACTCAGACGGCATGCCTGCTCTTCGCGCATTGCCTCATCAATGTCTGCGGCAAGTCATAAGTAATTTATCAAGATACGAAATTGCAGTGGCCCAGCGACAAGGCAGGAGCCACAGGGAGAGGTACAGAAAGTGTACGACCACGGGGTAGGGGAGGACAGCAGACATTCGGACACTCGCGAACTACGTCTGTCAATGCCAATCAGCTGCAAGCGATATGTGTGAATGAAACGAGTGGTTCGTATTCGTATTCGAGCTATTTGACTATTCGGAAGGGGCCACTCAGTCAGGTGCTGCCGCCCAAATGTCAGTCAGCAATTTAGCCGAGACTCTGCCTTCTCTTGGGGTGAAGTATGGGGCTGTAATTGAGTGTCTTTTGATTGTGATCTATTGCCAGGGGTTTGCATTATGTGCCAGAATGATGAATAGTATAGGTTTGTTGTCACTTTAAAGGGAGATTTGGAAACTGAAGGAAGGATATGGAAGGAAACGAAGGCAAATTTCGAATTCAAGGACTATTATTTGGAACTATTAATAAATTAGCCCTTGAGCTGTGAAAAAATCTTTGAAACAAATGTATTTTAATTCCAGCACTTGAAACTGCAACTGCAACTCCTTCATTTTGTCATATTTCTATACAAATTTCTTCACTTGCATTTATTTAATTGCTTAAATCATTTAAAAATAATATTCGAACGATATTCTGACAGGTCAAAGCATGTCTCGTAGGTCATCAAATTCTTTGAATAATTACTCAAAAAATTCCACAAAAATGCCAACGCAATGCATCTCGCTCTTTCCTTCGCTCTCTGCTTCTCTAGCTCTCTTGCTCAGACTATCCTTCTCTCTTTCGGCTCCACCACTCAATTACATTGGAAATTATCAAGCAATAAAAGGAAAATTTCCTTTGAGAGAACTAACGAAGGAAAGAACAGAAAATTGTAATAATTTGTGTGTGTTAGTTTTTATTTTGTATGTGGGTCATGTCCTTATGAAATATTCAAATTTCCTGAATTACGTATTTATGCCATTTTCAGTGTTTTTTATTGTTCCGCTGCTCGCACGCCTCTTCCTCCTGCAGTCGTTCTACTCTACCCTTCACACTCCTCTGGGAGCACTCCTTTCCATGCTCTGGTAATCCCATTTTCCCTTTCCTCGACCCCTGCAACCCTTTCATTACCCCCCTGTGGGGAGTGTCTATGCTCTCCAAGCAAATCCTTTGGCCCAAACATATAAAAACCCAATTGTAAATGCGTTTCAATGCTTGATTATGTGTGAGTGTCCCTCTCAATAACTGTGTATATGTGTCTCGTATCTGTGTGTGTGTGTGTGTGTGTGTGTGTTTGCAT